GCAGGACACTTCTAGTTTTTGTTAGAATTTCAATAAGGAGGACTTTTACAATGTGCATATGCATAACTGATTTTATTTTATTTTTATTTTTTTTGCGTAACTGATTTTAAAAAACTCTGAAGAAGAGAAAAACATGATTTCTCACAGAAAAAAATCATTTACAAAGAAAAGATGCTACAGAGAGTAAAAGACGTTCCAAAGTTTTAAAAAATGAAGAAAACTTGGTGTATCAAATAATAAAGATTAATTAAGAGAAAAAAATTGTATATGAAATATTAGCAACAAGGTTAACTGACATCCAGACAACTATCCCTTTCCTAAGCAACACGACACAACCAAAAAACCCCAGTCTACACATCTAATGTGTCAAGGTTTGAAGACTGTCACATCAGCTGAGGATTTCTGTAAAGAGTACTCCACTCAAATGCTCTCTTTAAAAATCAAAATTATCTCTTATCTCTCATGCTATTACCTATCTTATAGTAATGATCCTATTCATCTAAGACTTTGGTTCTGGATCTTCTGCAATTCTCTAATTCCAATCTTCCACTTGGAGGTTTAGTATCTCTCTCCAGTATTTTAACTTCAATTGATGTTCCTTAACCAGTGACCTTTAATTCATTCTACTTCGGCAGCTCACATAAACATGGCCCCAGAGGAAAATGTGACCTGACTTCCAGCTACCTGGTTACCTTTCTATCTTCTTAAATCACTACTGAAAAGACAAAGGAAAATTACAAGGAAGGATAAATGTCCAAGGACAAAAAGAGGAGAGGAGTAAACAATGAATAAAATACTTCAATCTTGTTTAGAAAACAAACAAACAAAAGGAATGTTACATCCTAAGTGTTTCCAGAGGGGTATGTTAGTAAGAAGTCAATCTGTTCACCCTCTAGAACCTTCAAAAGTCCCAAATGTGAAAGTATAAGAAACCACGCAAGGGTTTCTTAAAACAAGGGTTTTTTTAAAAATTGCTACATTTCTCTATACAGAAATAGTGAGACTCCAAGATCCCTTCCAGATCTTGTAAAAAATAGACTGTTAATTACAACCTTAATGAATTACTAAAATAAATGAACATAGAGAAAATGACACAAATGAAGAAATAAGGCGGAAATTTAGGAAAAGCTCAATTTTATTTATTTATTTATTTATTTTATTTATTTATTTTTTTTTATGATAGTCACAGAGAGAGAAAGAGAGAGAGGCAGAGACATAGGCAAATGGAGAAGCAGGCTCCATGCAGCGGGAGCCCGATATGGGATTCGATCCCGGGTCTCCAGGATCGCGCCCTGGGCCAAAGGCAGGCGCCAAACCGCTGCGCCACCCAGGGATCCCGAAAAGCTCAATTTTAAAAGAAAAAATAATACTGCCTCGAAAACAAAAAATATTAACAGGTATGATATTATATACCTGTTATACACACAAATACTGTAAAACTAATGATTAAGCTAATAGCTGTAACATAACACACAGACAAGCTGAGAGAAGTGGGCCTAAGAAAAATATCAACTAAAAACAAGTTAGTAGATAAATTACCTACATTGATAGGTCAAGAAATAGGACAAATATTTGGAAATGTGGAGGTAATTACCAAGAGTGCTAAGTAAGAGCTAATGAATGCTCTGCAGAACACAAAAGGAGTGGGAAAGTAGGGGCGGGGGTTGAGGAGCTACTGTTTTGTTTTTAGCCTATTAGTGTTATCTGACTTTTAAAACTATGTGCCTATATCCTTTTTATTAATTTCTATTTTAAAAACTGCAAAGAATGTGCTGTCTAAAATCTTAAAACGCCCATATACTTGTTTGACCACAATGCCTTATTTTTCAGGTGCTCACTCCTTTGCTCCCAATTTACAACTATATGCAATTCATTACCACCTCCAATCCCTGCCCATATTCCTCACTATCCCCTAAGTAGATCATGCCTTTCAGATTCTGATTCTTCTCTATGCTCCAACACTAACCTCTGCCTTGTTAAAATGCTTTGCTCCTTTCCCACAACTGTCTGAGAGGAAACACAGAGGACTGAATGTTCTGGGTTTAACTTCTATAGTGTCCACACTATTAATACAGTCACCCTCTCAATTCTCCTCAGTACTGCTAATAGAAGTTACTGTTTTCTCCCAGCCCTCAAGTTTATATTCAACTCATTCTCCCAACACAGCAACTTAATTCTCCTTCATGAAAAATAAAATTATGCACTATGACAACAAACTCCCGAAATAACCTGCTTGCTCCTCTACCCTTCCCCAACTCCACATCTTCCTGTACCCATACTTAACTCTTTACCTCTACCACTGGAGTAACACCTCTTAAAGACAAAACTTCTGCCTTATTCTTGCAATTGACTTCTTAACAGTTCTGAGTAGCCATGCTGCTTTTCTTTCAGAGTCACCTCCCAGGATGTCCACACTGTCAATTCTCAAATGCAACAAACTGCCAATAATCTGGATGCTAAAAACCCATGAGTACTTCTAAGTTTTCCCTATTACCTCAATGTGGCAACTCCCACAATTTAACCTCCCTCCTTAAACATTCACTTCTCTCAATGTGAGCACGATCCCTTGGCTTGGCTTCTCCCCTTCTGTATCCTTCAATCATCTTTGTGGGTTCCTCCTCCTCTATCCACAGTGTTGGTGTTGAAAAGGACCCAATTCTTCCTCTTCTCATCCCACATCTTCTCCCTGGCCAATCTCTTCCTTTGGCCTATATATGGTGATGACTTCACATCTACGCTCACTCCAGTACACACAATCCAATACAAAACCCTTAGAAGCTAAGTGTTCATTTTTGAACTTTTTAATTTTTATTTATTTCTTTTTTTTAAGGTTGGGGGCAAGAAGAAGAGAGAGAATCTTAAACAAGTTCCAAACACAGTGTGGAGACCAATACAGTGCTCGATCTTACCACTCTGAGATCATAACCTGAGCCAAACTCAAGAGGTGGGATGCTTAACTGACTGAGCCACCCAGGTGCTCCTATTTTTGAACTTTTTAAAAGATGCATAATAAACTCATCTATTTCTATCTCCCTCATTCTTTTTTAATTTTTTTTTTTTTTTTTTTTTATTTATGATAGTCACAGAGAGAGAGAGAGAGGCAGAGACACAGGCAGAGGGAGAAGCAGGCTCCATGCACCGGGAGCCCGACGTGGGACTCGATCCCGGGTCTCCAGGATCGCGCCCTGGGCCAAAGGCAGGCGCCAAACCGCTGCGCCACCCAGGGATCCCTCCCTCATTCTTCCCCTTCAGAATTCCTAATTTCAGTGGACAGCACAACATCCAGTTGTTCAAGTTACACATATGGGAATCATCACAGATGCTTCATATTCTTTATCTCTCACATCTAACTAATCAGGAAGTCATGTTGATTCCATTGCTTTTCTCTTACCTCTTTCTCATTCTAATTGACCTGCTGACATTACTTATCCTTCATCTGGAAACTGCAATAAACTCACTTGTTTATTTTTTTTAAAGATTTTATTTATTTATTCATGAAAGACAGAGAGAGAGAGAGAGAGAGAGAGAGGCAGAGACACAGGCAGAGAGAGAAGCAGGCTCCACACAGGGAGCATAACGTGGGACTCAATCCCGAGACTCCAGGATCACGCCCTGGGCCGAAGGCAGGCGCTAAACCACTGAGACACCCAGGGATCCCCAACTCACCGGTTTCCAACATAATTCACACCTGTTTCAAACCATCCAAGCCAGTAAAGTGAGAGTGACCTTTTTAATACTGTACATAATTGTCATTTACACTCAAGATTTCTGCACAACTACAGAATCCAGTAAACTCCTTTCTCTAGCATAGTAGTCCCTCATGAACACCTATCTGACCCATTTCCCATCACTCCCTTCCTTTACAATTTTATTACTTAGCTCTCTCCTATTCCAGATTTCTACCCAGCCTATCTGCTCTGCCATAAAGATACTCCCCTAACATACCTGACAAATACCTATTCACCCTTACCCTTGAAGTCTCTGGTCAACTGTCACCTCCTCTAAGAAATATTCCTAGTTCTCCCAAGCAGATTTAGATGCTCTTTGTTCCTATGCCCTTTGCAAACCCATGCATTTATTAAAGCAAATATACTTGTTTAGAAACTCATCTCCCTTATTCTCTGAGCTAAGAGCAATATAAAATCGTTTTTCATCTTTAAATATTCCACGCTTAAACTGAGACCATGAAAATTGTATTCACTTACTATTTGCTAAATGATTAAATAATATTGTAAAATAACTATTTTTAATGCCAAAGAATCACAATAGGCATTTAGTAATTCAATTAATAAATTTCTTTTTTTTTTTAATTTTTTTTTTATTTATTTATGATAGTCACACAGAGAGCGAGAGAGAGAGAGAGGCAGAGACACAGGCAGAGGGAGAAGCAGGCTCCATGTACTGGGAGCCCGACATGGGATTCGATCCCAGGTCTCCAGGATCGCGCCCTGGGCCAAAGGCAGGCACCAAACCGCTGCGCCACCCAGGGATCCCCAATTAATAAATTTCTTATACTAAGTTACTGGAAGAATTTTTCATTATTAAAAGTACATATTTGTTATATAATAAAACCTGTATGTTACTAACATTTCAAAGAGACAGAAAACTATTTTACCAGTAAATATTTTGTTATGATAGTCAACTAATGGTTCTTGGTTCAATGGTCATTTTATATGGGGGCACTGGTAGTTCTAAAACTTTTCCCAAAATATTTTATTTTAATGGTCATAAGTTTTAAAGGTTCTCCTCTTTTCATGACCCCACATAAGCCACAAATATTAAAAATACAAGTTTTATTTTTCTAAATGTATTAAAAACAGTAACTTGTTTAGCCTATTTCAACATAGGCAAATTTTCCTCTTAAAAATGATAACTCACTACAGCATTTTAGTATACAAAAGAAAGGTCCTAAGATTAACTCTTTACTAAATTTCTTCTAGATGACTGATAATTTCTGAATATTTCAAAAGAATTCCATCTTTAAAAAAAAAAAAATTTACCTCTGGATGAAAAAAGATTTCGGGTCCCAAGAATCTCTCATAACCAACATCAATAGAAAATTCTTTCTTTGAGATAGCATTGATTCCAGTATATTGCTTAATCCACTTTGATCCATCTGTGTCATATTTGTTAAATTCTTTTACTAAATCTGGGCAGACATAACTATAGCGCTCCTAGGAAAACAAAGAAATGAGTTATTATTTCCTCATTTTATGAAGAGTAAAAAAGAATGATACATTTTCTTTCAAAAGAATCAAAAGAACAAATATCTTTGTAAAGAAATTAAGTTCAAGAAAATTTTTTGTTAGGATATTAGTATATGGTTAGTACAACTCAACAAAACTCATCTCCTACACATAATTCCTGGCTTCATATATAAATTAAGACTTGACCAACTAAAGAGACAATCTATATCTCAAGATTATTTCATGAAAACATTCATTAACGTCATTCAGCATTTTATACTGTTTAAGTAATGGAGTTTGCATTCTAGAGAGGAGAAAATATAAAATACACACAGGATTGGAGAATAAATAATAGTCAATATAACCTACAAATTAATATAGACCTTTATTCCTTAATACTTTTCTAGAACAAAACTGAATATGGTCTAAGTAAACTAGAAAAAAAAAAAGACTGAAAATAAAAACTTGTTCTTTACTGTATCACCTACAATGCTAAATTGTTGCATATCTGGTTATAAGTCCTATATAAAAGTTTTCATCAAAAATTCAATTCAAAAATGTCACGGGTTATAACATTCTATTTGCAACTTATGAACTCCTGAATCCAAGTCTCATTTTTTCTTAAAAGAAAAACACACATTTCACAGATTTTTGTACATCAAGAAAATCCAATCCAAATAGATGCAAATATTACTTATAATCAAAAGACATAAAAGAAAAAAATGTGGAAAACAAAGGACAATTTGATTATGTTATTGTAGGTTCTTTTTCTCCAAACCTTGGAAGTAGGAATTACATGGAAATAATTCTTAAAAGACATTCAGCCTGAGTATCAGTATTCTCTAAAACAGATTTGAAACCTTGGTGCTTTTGTTTTTTAAACTCCACAGGCTTCCCAAAGATGCTGAAACAGTACCGTTCATGTTAATTTTTTACAGATTTAATTTTGATGCCACCCCTTGGGTGGGTTTTGGCAGCCATTTTGTAATCCCTTTACTATTAGGAAGTTGTGAGTTCCTTTTCATTCCTAATCTTGAAGAGGGAAAGAAACTCTATAATCAGGCAAAGATAGACAAATAAATAAAGTTATTTTTGCTGGGGCAGTTTTGCTTTCACATACTGAAAACATATGAAAAACCCATTGAAATTTTTTTAGGTATGTTGGTAAATGATAAATTTAAAAAGTAATGCTAAGTATTTTGACAGCTTACATGAAGCGCTGATCTAACAGAGACTTTTATAAAAACAAATTATTCAATTATCTTAAATAGCTTTCACATTTTTCTTCTATTTACCATATCACCTGAGCCAAACACAGCACTTCTATTCTACAGTGAAATGAAACAATTATATATATTAAGAAATTTTAACAGATTTTTAAGATTTTATTTATTTATTCATGAGAGACACAGAGAGAGAGAGAGGCAGAGGCACAGGAGGAGGGAGAATCAGGCTCCAGGCAGGGAGCCCAACATGGGATTCAATCCTGGGTCTCCAGGATCATACCGTGGGCTGAAGGCGGCGCTGAACCGCTGAGCCACCCAGGCTGCCCAATGGTTACAGATTTAAAAACGTTAGGATTACTATAAAGAATCCAATGAAGAAATCGAGATACAAGGACTCTGAAGTGAACTAATTATTTGCACTATAGGGAAAAAAAAAATCACAAAAATGTAAATTAAAGTCAGTTGGGAGAAAGGTGGGGGGGGGGGGGGGGGGGGCCCCCACCCCCCACACAAGGGGGGGGTTTGGGGGTAAACAAAAAATGGGGGGGGTGGGGGGGGGGGGGGGGGAAAATAAATAAAAAAAAAAAAATAAAATAAAAAAAAAAAAATTTGGGGGGGGGGGGGGGTGGGGGGGGGGGGGGGGGGTGTGGGGTTGTTGTGTGGTGGGGGGGGGTGGGGGGGGGGGGGGGGGGGGGGGGGGGGGGGGGGGGGGGGGGGGGGGGGGGGGTTTTGGTTGGGGGGGGGGGGGGGGGGGGGGTGGGGGGGTGGGGGGGGTGGGGGTTGTGTTTGGTTTTTGGGGGGGGGGGGGGGGGGGGGGGTGGGGGGGGGGGGGGGGGGGGGGTTGGGTTTGTGGGTTGGGGTGGTTTGTTGGGGGGGGGGGGGGGGGGGGGGGGGTTGGGTGGGTTGGTGTTGGGGGGGGGGGGGGGGTGGGGGGTGTGGTGGGGTTGGGGGGGGGGTGTGGTGTTGGTGGGTTGGTGTTGGGTTGGGGTTGTGGGTGTTGGGGGGGGGGGGGATGTTGTTTGTGGTTGTAGTAATTTATTATAATTATGTTGTGGGGGTTTTTTTTTGAGTTGGGTAGAGTTGTGGATTTTGTTAAGTTGTTAGTGGTTGGGAGATGGTGGGGTGGGAATTGTGGAGGGGAAAGGGTGAGGAGTGGGGGGGGGGGGAGATTGGGGTAGGTGGGTGTTGGTTGTTTATTAGGTATTTTTTTTATTTTAAATTATTCTTTTACTGGTAAGAGTTTCTAAGTAAGACTGAAATGACTGAACATGAAAATAATGAGTTTCAGAAGTTTTAAATGTTTTGACAGCAGACCAGATAGGAAATTATTTTAAAATCTTTTATTACTTCAAGTAAACAATTTAGGTAGCATTGGAGGAAATTTGACCATTAATCCACCAACTCATTTTTCCTAATGAAGTAGGCAGCAATTTCACAAGACTGAAGCATTCTATGCAGTACCATAATGTCAAATAATTAAATTCTATACAATGAATTCATAAAAGTACTGACAGGAGTCAGAAGTACAAAATATAATGTAACAAAATTAAATTTCATTAACGAAGAACATTAAGAATGTCCTCATCCATCCATGACAGAGTATTAGGGATTGGCTATATATCCTCTCACCTTAAATTTAAAAACAGGACAAAGTAAATGAAATACAGTTTTCAGACTCTGAACAGGCAGACTAGGGCAGAGTTCCCAATGAGAAGGGAAAACAAATAAGATGAGTGCTATAAACATCCCATCTCATTGCCTAGGAAGAGTTCCCAGACAGTGGTAACAGGAGAGAGAGCCCAAGAAGAGTCAAATAGTCTCATTAAGTTGAGGATACAGAATTTAGATTTCAGGGAAGTCAAAATGGCTGAAAGAGCTGCAGTTGACCCAGAGCTCTGAGATGTACAAAGTAACACCTTAGCTGACTAGTAATCATACATTCATGTTAGGAAACCATCAAGGCCAGAGAAAGAACCTCTGGAAAGGTAGGAACAAAAATAATCCCCAAGCTTACGCAGAGCTGGGAATAGTTTACGTTCTCATTTAGCCAGAGTTTAAAGACCTCAAACACATGGCACTGAGTAAAATCCTCAGAAGAGTATTTCCTCAAGAGTGGATACAAAGTAAAACCAAACAGAAGATTGTTCTGGATTTGCTCAATAACAGTTAAAAGGAGCCGCTGAAAGGATCAAACTGACTTCTAATAACTATGTCCCGGGGGGGGGGGGGGACCCTCAGAAAAGATTTTTAAAAGTCCCCACATCTAGGACATAACAATGTGAACATATAGTACCCAATGAAAAATTATAAGCAAGCAAAGAAACTAGAAAATAACCCTTGACTGGGGGGAAAAATTAAAAGAGAAAGAAACAGAAATATCAAAGATAATAGCATTAGTAGACAAGGACATTAAAACTACTACTATATGTTCCACATGATGAAGAAGATCAATGGAAATGTGAGCCAGAGAGAAAGGAAGATATAAAAAAGACCCAAAGAAAACTTCTCTAGAGAAAAATAAAATATCTGAAATAAAAAATACCGTAAATGTCATTATAGCAGATCAATAAAGAAAAAAGTGAACTTGAAGACAAAGAACTATTCAAAATGAAACAGAAAAAGAAAAGATCAGGAAAAAAATGAACAGAGCATTAGTAAAACTGTAAGACAACTTCATGCAGCTTAAGAGACATGTAACTGGAGTACCTAAGGATAAGGAGGAAAAGAAGGGGGAAAAAAATGTGAAGAAATAATACAGGAAAAACTTTTCAGGTATGATAAAAACTACAAAGCTATAAATTCAAGAAGCTCAACAAATCCAAGGAGAAGAAATGGAAGGGGGAAGGAAAGAACACATTTAGGTACATCACAATCTTGAAAACAGCTAGACAAGAAATAGCACAAAGAAACAAGCATAGCACTGGCAACAGACTTATTTTCAGAAACAATGTAAGCCAAAAGACAGTAGAAGTCCATCTTTAAAATACTAATAGGAAAAAACTATCAACATATAAAATTCTACACCAAGTAAAAATACCTTTCAAAAATGTACGTAAAATACCCTTTCAAAGAATGTACATAAGGTCCAAGAGTTCACAATCAGTAGACCAGTACACTAATATATGCTAAAGGACAGGGGCACCTGGGTGGCTCAGGATTTCAGCTCAGGTCATGGTCTCAGGGTTGCAGGATTGGTCCCATACAGATGGCTCCAGGCTCAGTGGGAGTCTGCTTGGCCATCTCCCTCCCTCCCCCTCAACCCCCACATGCTCTCTAAAATAAATAAATTAATTAATTAATTGAATCCACCACTCCCTCCCCCCCCCTTTTAAGGCAGTGCTCAAGGCCATCATTCTGGCAGAAAGAAAATGATGCTAGATGGAAATCTGGACCTTCCAAAGGAAATAAGCACTGGAAATGTTAAGTGCATATATACAAAAAAAATTATCTTTTTCAAAATCTCTTTAAATGATGACGATTTGGTCTCAGTTGACAAGTCCTACCTCTCCCAAAATTCTTATGAAGTGCTATCCCCCAATACTTCACAATGTGATTATATTTGGAGGCAGAAACTTTAAAGAGGCAAGTTAAAATGAGATGATTAGAGTGGGTCCTAATCTGATATGACTTATGTTCTTAAAAGAAAAGATTGGGACACAGACACACAAGACGACGATGTGCAGACAAATGGAGAAAATTAGACCATCTAGATAAGAGACACACAGTGAAGCCTCAGGAAAAAAAAAAAAATCAACCCTGCCAACACCTTCATCTCAGATTTTATTGCCTCCATCTGTGAAAAAATTAATTTTCTATTGTTTGAGCCACTCAGTCTGTAGTATTTTGTTATACCAGCCCTAAGAGAACTAAAACCACTTAAAATGAAACAAATTAATAACATACTATAAAGTTTATAACACGTAGAAGTAAAATAGTGACAACTACAGTGCAGAAGTACGTTGTTGTACACTTCCTATTCATAAAATAGAACATTATTTGTGGTTAGATAAGTTAGAGATGTTTATTATATATAGACCCTAAAGCAACCACCAAAAAATAAGCAAATGACAGTAACAAAGAAGTAGAACATAGCTAATAAGTCTACTAAAATAAAGTAGAATTATAAAAAAAAAATACTCCATTAATTTAAAAGAAAGCAAGAAAAGAAGGAAAAGAAAAAAAAACAAAACATAGGAATATCCAATTCACCAATTTGTTATCTGATAGGATTGTGTGGTAATTTTAAAATATTCTTACCACAGGAATGACATGAGTGACACCATCTCCACTGTCTATTACTGTACCGGTCAATGTCCGTTCTCCTACTTGTCTTGAGGTCCAAGATGCAGCTAAGGCAAGAACAGCCTTAGACAAAAAGAAATATGACAAGCAAGAAAATAAAAACAAGCATAAAAAGTTAATAGAAAAAAATTTCAATGGAGTATTTAAATTTTAAATGTACAGCTGACTCTTCAACATCAACAGGGTTAGGGGCACTGATCCCTCCAACACAAGCAATTAAAAATCCAAGTATAACTTCTAACTCCCCAAAACTGTAGTGTACTGTTGACCAGAAGCCATACCAATAAACAGTCAAATGACACAGATTTTTTTTGTTTAGGTTGTATCGTATATTGTATTCTTACAATAAAATAAGTTAGAGAAAAAATGATGTTAAGAAAATGGTAAGGAAGATAAACACTTACAGTACTGTATTTATTTTCAAAAATCCACATATAAGAGGACCTAAGCAGTTCAAACCTGTGTTGTTCAAGGGTCAACTACAGTAATCTTTGGCAAGAGAATACACAATTAATTTATATTATGCAATAAAATTATTCACATCGTTTTAAGACAAACTTACAGGCTTGTATTTACTTTTAGGGGCATATTTGTATATTTTCCATGTTTTTATGAGGGCAAGAATGGGGAAGACTAATATGAAGTATGACAATACTAAGAATGCCAGGACTCTATGCTTATATGGGCTAGGCTGTATACAAACCACAAAATAAAGTGTAAGTAAGGTAAAGAAATACAAACACCCAATCACCAGTTCCTCTATAGACAGACAGCTATAAACAAGTATCTCTATCATGAGATTAGCTCCAAATTTTCTCAATGCGACATGCATTCAAGAATATATAACAAGTTATTTAACCACCAAAAAAGCCATTATAATTTAACCACCAAAAAAGCCATTATACACTTCTAAATATTACTATTTAGTTGGGAAACAAAGTTGGTGAAATTATATTTTTCTATGAAAAATATTGGCATGGGCAATAAAGTATAATTCTTTTAAATTTACAACTTAACACAGCTAGCCCATTTTTTAAAAACTGAATTTCATACAATCCAAGCATCAAACAAGATACATAGCCAATAATTAAAAACAGAGCTAAACTGGCTTTATTTTTACCTACTTGCAATATAATAGCTGAAAGGGACCTAGAAAGTTATCTAGGCCATCCTCCTTTTTTTTTAACACAGAATCACACACCATAATCATTGTTACCTAAGAGAACTATACAATAGTTTACAAACATATTAAGCATTTGTGAGATGCTAGGCATCACATTCCCTACAGGTTGAAAAAATAAGAGCTGAGCTGTGATCCTGGGAGGTGGGAGAGAAGCCAGTCCATGAAGATACATTTACAAAGTAAATGTTCGAAAAACAGTACAGGGGATTATGATATACAGAATACAGAGAGGCACAAAGGAGAAGGTGGTCAAATATACCTAGTAGTAAGTCAACCAAAACAAACTATGAAATAAGGACACAATGAATGTTTCAAGGATAAACGATTATGTATATAAAATTTTTGACCTAGAAGAAACACTCGATAAATATTACTTTCCTTATTTCTGTCCCATGAGAAGCCTTGAATTATCTAAAGATCATTAATTTACTTCCTTCAACATTTCTTTTTTGCTAACTCTATTTCCTATGATTTCTAAATTATTGATTCAAGAGAGAGCTATGATATGCCTCAAGGTTATAAAAAATATATGTATTTTTAAGAGTGAATTAAACCAGATAAAAATTCAAGAGTCAAGCTTATCTTGACTTATGAACTTGCTTACCTGCACAGCAATGTACAAGCCTGGAACATTGAAGGACTCAAACATTATTTCAGCAGTATATTCCCTGTTTTCTGGAGTATTCAGTGGAGGTTCAGTCTATTAAATTGAATATAGACAAGACCAGATTATTTTGACAATTTTATAGGCAATTTTTAAATAAGATAATTTATGTCAAAAATTTTATTTAAAAATCTTAAACTTAGAAGTACAAAGATAGACATATAGACCAAAGAGAAACTATATAAAGAATTCAAACAGATGTATACATATATGGAAACAATATAGTTATTCACACAAAAAAAGAAATGGAATCCCTATGTTACCCCATTAAACACTGATAAAAAGAATAAAAGACCTAGTCAAATCATCTTATAAAAGGGTAATGACAGATCCCCAGGGAGAAATACCAATGGTGTTTGCTAGTGGCAGAGTTCTCATCTATGAAAGGTTTTTAGCAGGATGTACCTAGTCTATCTACAACTAAAGTAAATAAGCTAAGATTCTACAAATTTATGCCATGGCTTTTGGGAAAAATGTTATTTAAGTTATATAACTGTTAAGAGTATTAAAATGGAGATATTTACACAGTTCTCTTCAGTTCACATACATCATTTAGAAACCTGCAGATTAAGTCTGGGCCAGAATACATTCTAATGAGGCAAGAGAGGACTGAGCTGAAACAGTACTTACAATCCCACACTTCATGTTTCACCTATGCCTCATGATTAAACCATTTAAATTATTAAACCATGAAACAGAGCAAAACTTCTGATTCTTATGAATCAGATTTGACAATCTTTTTTGTTATCTCAAATATTTAAACTGAAAGGCAAACCTTTTAAACTTTAGAAAATATAAAAGAATAATGTTTTTGACCTTGAGGTAAGAATGATTCCTTAAATTTTAAGGGCACAAATTACAGAAAGAAACATGGATAACACTTGAATTCATTGCCAGTTAAAACATTTTTTGTTAATTTAAAAAATACTATAAAGTTTTTTTTTTTAATTTTTTTTTTTATTTACTTATGATAGTCAGAGAGAGAGAGAGAGAGGCAGAGACACAGGCAGAGGGAGAAGCAGGCTCCATGCACCGGGAGCCCGATGTGGGATTCGATCCCGGGTCTCCAGGATCGCGCCCCGGGCCAAAGACAGGCACCAAACCGCTGCGCCACCCAGGGATCCCCAAAAAATACTATAAAGTTTTAAAGACAATGGTCAACTTAGAGTAGACTCTGTATGTACGTAAAACCTTTTTTTTTTTTAAAGATTTTATTTATTCATTCATGAGAGACACAGAGAGAGAGGGGCAGAGGGAAAAGCAGGCTACACACAGGGAGCCTGATGTGGGACTCGATCCCGGGACCGTGGGATCATGCCCTGAGCCAAAAGCAGATGCTCAACCGCTGAGCCACCTAGGCATCTCCATAAAACCTTTTAATAGCTAAACTACCTGATGTGTTTAAACTTATTTGAAAGAGTTTTGGAACTATGTTCAAAGCTTTGGAGATAGGGATCCCTGGGTGGCGCAGCGGTTTGGCGCCTGCCTTTGGCCCAGGGCGCGATCCTGGAGACCCGGGATCGAATCCCACGTCAGGCTCCCGGTGCATGGAGCCTGCTTCTCCCTCTGCCTGTGTCTCGCCTGCCTCTCTCTCTCTCTCTCACTGTGTGCCTATCATAAATAAATTAAAAAAAAATTAAAAATAAAAAAAATTAAAAAAAAAAGCTTTGGAGATAACTCAGTGATAGGTACATATAAGATAAAGCAAACTGAAAAAGCCAAGCCAGTTAAATTATAAACTCCAAGAAAAACAAAAGCTCTATATAAAATAAAATACAATCAGAAACCCTCCCAATTAAAAAAAAAAAGAAACCCTCCCAATGAAAATATACAAAAAGCTAATAAGCACATGAAAAAGTGCTCAACATCATTAGTCATCAGGAAAATGCAAATTAAAACCAAAATGAAAAATCTTACACACCCACCAGAATGGCTAAAATTAAAAAGACTGACACACCAATGTTGGATAGAACATAGAGCAACCAGATTGCTAACACATTGTTGGTGGGTGTGCAAAAAGGTACAACCCCTTGGAAAAAGTTCTGAATGTTACCTATAAAACCAACCACACACCTATCCTATAATAGAATAATTTGCTATCTAGGTACTTATACAAGACAAATGAAAGTATGTCCACAAAAAGATTTAAGAATGTTTGTAGTAACCAAAATATTCTTAATAGTCAAAAACTGGAAACAGTCCAGGTAATCACCAACAAGAAAATGGATAGTGAGGCATATTCATACCATAGAATCTGACCCAGCAACAAATTACTGGTATATGAAACAATGTGGATGAGTCTCAAAGATTACGCTGAATGAAGTCTTACCAAAGAGCACATCTTGTATAATTTCATTTATATAAACTTCAAATATAAGCAAAACCAATCTACGCTGGAAAAAATCAGAACAGTGGTTCCCTCTAGCACATAGGGGCAGGAATTAATCAGGAAAGGACATCAGAAAACTTTCTAGGCTGATAGTAATGTTCTCTATCTTTTTTTTTTAGATTACTTTTGTTTATTTTTTTAATTTATTTTTTATTGGTGTTAATGTTCTCTATCTTAAAAAAAAATGTTCTCTATCTTGACAAGAGTTTTGTTTACACAAATGTATGCATCTGTTAAAATCAGGAGATGGCAAACAACATCATGCATCCTGTAAGACAAATCCATCTCATCACTTGTTTTTGTAGATACAATTTTATTGGAACACACTGAAATACTGTCTAAGGCAGCTTTCCTGTTACAATAGCAGAGCTCAGTAGCTGCAACAGACACCATATGGCATTCAAAGCCAAAAATATTTGCTATCTGGTCCTTCAGAGAAAGTTTGCCAATGCCTGCTCAATACTCATAGAATGCTAGAGTTAAGATTTGTACATTCTATAGCATGTGAATTTGTGAACTTTATATACATAAAAGAACTATAAATAATGAACTCTAGTTGGTGATATGCATGCTAGTGTACTTAGGGGTGAAATTACCCCATCTACAACTCATTCTGAAGTAATTAAAAATATAAAATAGAGTGATGGATGGATAACCTGCTAGACATCATAAAGTAATTATAATAAAATTAATACTTGCATCTAGGTTATGTATATGTGGGTATCTACCATAAAGTTCGTTCAACTTTATGTTTATGGTCTATAAACAATATTCACGAATTACAGTAAAATAAAATCAATGGAATATTGATTCCATGTAACTATACTATAGGGAGGGGGGAAGATAGGGATTCTATGTTGAGAAGGAGGATAAAAGGAACAAAATATCCTCACCTTTCCTACTAGAAAGCATTAGTGTCTAATATTTAAAAAAATAAGAAATAGAAAACATGTTTAAATTTATGAGATAATGATCATAAAAAGCTCTTTAAAAATTTAAAGTGCTTGTCTCTAGAGACTATGAATCAAAGGCTGGGAAAGGTGAGAAAGGAGAGTGCTATTTTTTTTGTTTTAAATCTTACAGCATTGGATTTTTGTAAACTATATATTGTATTTCTGTTGCCAAGAATTACCAATAAAATAATAATCAGATGAGTTATTTAAAAAAGCAAAGAGCCATATTCCCAAATATTTTTTGAACCTTACTGTTCCTATCATAAAGATTACATATTAATTATGAAAAGAACTTTCTAATAAGTGCCTAAACCTTGGTGCTTCAATGTATCGTAACTATTGGAACCCAGAAGTGGATAATCTTAAAGACAATACAGCATTATAATGAAGTCTTTTAGACAGAACAATTTAATAAACAACAAAGTATGCCCTAGTGAGTATAAATGTGATGAAAACATTCTCATTATGTTTTTTTCAAAAATGTCCTTGGTGAAATTATAATTTGTACTTACCAAAAGAAAATAATGATCTTCTGGTTCTGCCCTTAAATATTTAAAGATCACTTGTTCCATAAACCTTTCCATCAAGTCCCAATCTTCAACTATACCATGGCGAATTGGCCACTATCAAAACAAAACACAAATGAGATCTTATTAATATCAAAAGTAAATAAAACTACCAAAAAAGGAGAATATTAAACCAGGACAGCATTTTTCATGTGTGATTTAATGATGTAGATTATCCTTAGGAGACGCATACTTTACTATTTAGAGATCAATGAAATTATTCCAACAACATTTTCAGATGATTCAATTAAAATACATAATGTAAATGTTAAGAGAATCATCAAAGCAATCCTGTGATAGACAATCAAGAAGGATGAAGATTATCATATGCAACTGCATTTAACAAAGAGTTTAATCTGTATTAAAATAATCTGACTAAATAAAACGTTGCTGGTGGGGGGGATTGAAGATTTTATTTATTTGATAAGAGAGGGGCAGAGAGGGACCTCACAGGGGTGAGCAGGGGGAGAGGGAGAAAAGAATCTCAAGCCAACTGAACCCAACCTCAGGACCCTGAGATCATGAACTGAGCAAAAATCAAAAGCAGATGCTTAACCCACTGAGCCATCCAGGTGCCCCAAGAAGTTTGGTTTTAAAAGAAAGAGGAAAACAACAGCTAAGAGACTGAGGAAAAGATTAGGAATAAAGATTGAAAGAAGCTTTATTGTTCTGGTTTGCAGCATTTGGAAGACTTGAAAATGTGTTTAAAAGAACAGATTCACTGCAGAAAAACTCTGGCCTCTTAGCTTACTGACTTCATCATCTTTAAAGATGTCTTTTTCATTCTGGCCGCAGTTTATATCTTAGTATCACTATCACATCTCTAAATTCCTGAAATCCAAATATACCCCTCTTGGATCACAACCTCCTCTTCTAGCATATTCTAGCAGCCCACTATACTCTTGATCATAATTAAACTTGCAGTTCACTGGTTCTTGTAAAATTATTCCCTAGCCATCAAACCTGAAAACACAAACACACGCGCACACAGTTTAGATTTTATGCTCCATCACTTCATCTATTCATATTTCCTTTTCTCATTCCACCTATCAAAACCCAACCTAGCATGACCCTATGTCAAATTTGCCTATATCCAGAATGTGATTACACTGAAGTCACATACATTACATAACGAGGTGGCTAAAACTAAATTGCTATTCTCAAGTGAACCTAACTTTGCCTGACAACCGTTTCCCTTACTCTGTTCATCTTCACTCTTTACAATGATAATTTTAAATGTTCTCCCTATTACTTGTATTTCACTTCCTATCCCGACAACCTGGGCAGCAGAGATTATGTCACCTGTATTTCACAGAAAAAGCAGAGGCCAACAGTCAGGAATCTAACATCCCTTCACCAAATCTATAAAACTGATTCCATACTTAACGGTTTCACTTTTTTATAATGTAAGAGACCCTCCATATATCAATTAGATCTTTTATGCTCTGGATCCCATCCCTCTAGCTTTCTTAGGACCTGGATTGGACTCCACCTTTATCTTGCTACTTAAATCTAATGGCTCTTTCACATTAGCATTTAAACATCTCTTCCATCTTAACTGCACAACTTGTCTATTCAACTATCTTTGCTTCCCAATCACAGCCAAAAGCTTCACTGAATATTACTGTCATTTTTTCCTAGCCTAACATTTCCAACCTACCTCTACCCAGCCTCAATGGTTCTCACTCTTCTAAAATTATTATTAAGCTCACAAATGGCATCCTTGTAACTAAAGACAGGAAATAATATATGGGCGCTAGCTTATTTGATAGCTTAGCACCATTCTACAGTTTACATTCCTTCTTGTTTAGCCCAGTCTCTCTAACCACAGCTTCTCAGTCTCCTTTCTAGGTTTTTCCTCTTCTATCCAAACCTAAATGGTATGTTGAACAGGCTCCATCCTGGGCCTCTTTCCAAATACATTTCCCTAAATAATCTCATCCTTTCTAGAGGTTAATTGATACCTTCCAAATATTTGTCTCCAGCTGTCTTGTTTCTGAGCTCCAAAGCCAAATATTGCCTAGCAATGTAAAAGACAACTCTCAGGTATCTCAAACATAACACATTCCAAACTAAACTTATCATAACTTTTCTCCCTAAACCACCCCAGTCAAAAGTGTTTCTTCTCAAATGTTCTCAATCCCAACAAATAAGAGGCAAGATGACTATCAAGGAGCTGGAAACTGTCCTCAAGTAGTATTTACCACCAATATCTTGTTAATCATTCCCTGTTACTCTTTAAATATCCATTTTTTCATTCGTGGCAAAAAGTAAAATTTTTAAAAAAAATTTTAAGCCATAACTCATATACATCTAATCAGTCTTCTAGATTTAATACCATTTTACAGCAAAGAAATAAATATAGAAAGAGGATCACGTTAAAGGACAAAAGAATGCAATCATCAGAATCCAGAAAATGGGACAATTAACAAGACTAATAATTTTTTCCATAAGTAAAAGAAAAAAGAAACACACACACAGGGTAAAGAACCTTTAGAGAGACCTAAGTAAGCAACTTGTCAATCAAATCCAAGGAGTACACTTCAATGAAATCTTGATTCAAACAAATTAACCAATATAAGAAATAATCAGAGAAATGTATTGACTGGATTGCAGATATTAAGAAAGCACACACTGTATTTAACTGTTGTATTTATATTTTTAAGTCTTTAGCTTTTTTTTTTTAAGACTTTATTTATTATTTATTTGACAGTGAGAGAGCACACAAGCAGAGAGGGAATGGCAGAGGGAGAGGGAGAGACAAACCCCTCGCTGAGCTAAAGCCAGACGTGGGGCTCAATCCCAGGACCCTGGGATCATGACCTAAGCCAAAGGCAGACATTCAACCAGCTGAACGTTCAGACACCCAGATGCCCCTAAAGCTCTTTATCTTTAAGAGATAAAGTATTTGTAGATGAAATATATGTTGGATTCACCTTAAAATATTCAGGAAAAGGGGGGCAGTTACAGATAAAAAACAAAGGTTCGCCACAGGTTGATTAACTGCCAAAGCTATGCAGTTGCTATATTACACTCCTTTCTGTACTTTTATATATATGAAGTTGTCCATGATAAAAGTTAAGTGTGTGTGTGTGAGATATACAAACACCTAATTTCTGTTTCTAAGTATCCTCACTGCCATCACTATTATCCAAGTCACTAATATTCTTTGCCTCAGCTATAATATGGTCTCCCTGGAATCATACTGTGTTCCCAAAAAATAAAAACAGCTAACACATATTGCTCATTCATTAGGAACAAAGCACCATTAACAACTGCTTTATATGCATTACTTTATTCAAACCTCCCAACAATCCTGAAATACTAGAAATATCTCCATTTTACAGATAAAGTAAATGAATGAAACTCAGAAAGGTCAAGTTGCTGAATAATATCACAAAGCTAGAAGGTAACACAGTCAGATTTCCAGCCCAAGTACAGAGACTTTGACTTTGATATTTGTGCTTTTAGTCACTAACATTATTCCTCTAGTGAAAACCATTAATGTTGCCCATAGGGCAGAGTTCAAATCCTTTCACATGGCTTAACAGTACTTCCAGCCACCTTGTCCTGCCCTACATACCCAACCTCCTCACTTCTTTCCACCTCATTCTCTACACTTCAAGCACATCAGTTGTTTATTTCCCGTTTCCCTCACACTTTGAAGGCTTCTTGAACATTAGAATCTCTGCCTAAAACAACCTTGCCTACAGAATTCACTCAGCTAACTCCTGTCTTATTCAAGCCTCAGCTTAAAAGATATTCCTCAAAGACTCACCTGAATTCACAAACTAAGTTAGCCACTCCTGATATATATTCCCAGAACATCCTACATTTTCCTTTCCCTAATCCCCATAATTCCTGTAATTATTTCTTCGATGTTTTCCTTTCCACCTCATTATACTAGCCTTGAAGTCAGTGAAGCCATTTTTCTTATTTGCCACTGTATTCTCAGCACTTAGTGAGGTTCTACACACAGTAGTTATTCATTAATTTAATAAATTATGAGAAGGGAATAAAAGAGGTACAAAGGAGAAAACATACACATCAGGCAAAGTCAATATCTCAAAATAAGATAATAAAGGTCACAATGGGGTTTGCCTTTTAGAGTGGCTAGGGGTGCTAAGGCTGGGAATAGGCATAAAGAGAGCTTCAGGGTTACAAGATTTGCTCTAGATGCTGAAGTTTTATGATCAAGGTCACAAACATTTTTAAACTACAAAATGGAAGACTTATGTACTTTTACTATATAGCAATTATACCTCAATAAAAAGGGAAAGAGAGGACAGGATCAGGAACAAGAAAAGGGAAAAAAAGAGAGGAAGAGAGGCATTTCCAGGTGACATAAGCTTCAAAAGAGAGAAACTGTATAAGCCTGAATAGAAATGGGAGAGACATGTCTCTAGATGTGGCAATGTGGAGATCAAAGAAAGCCACTCACACTGATGGCTCTGAGATCTAGTGACTAAGGAAAAGTAAATAATGCTCGTTTGAATGGGTGAAAATTTTCCTCTAGAGGAGGAAAAAAACAGAGTTAAAGCAAGGTTGGGAGAAACCACGGAGGGAAAAAAATTTCTATTGTGAAGAGATTAAGGGTATTAGGCCTGTAACTGAGTAAAATTCCAGATGGCAACACCATTGAACAAGCTGATTTTTAAAAGAAAATATATTTATACAAATCATAAAAACATACCTTTGTTGCATATGTAGGTTTTTCTATTGCTTCATCACCAATAAAGAAGTCTAGGTCATCAACACCTTTCATCACCCGCCTTTGAGCTTGATCACCCACTTTTGCGGACTCCTTAATAGCAATACCTTAAAAGTAAGTTATTTATACATATCAAAGTTTGCTTTTTTTAAATGAGATAAATATTTTAACTTAGATTTCTTTCATTAAAAAGTACTATTAAAACATGATCTAACATAAATTGTTAAAGTAAATCACAAAGGTAATTTACGAAACTGATGACAAAACTTGCTTTAACACAGTGAAATCTCAACTTCCATTCAGAGACAAAGGCTTCAAGTGTAAAAAGCCAAAAAAAGAAATACTGCTGTGGTAATGTTTCAATTATATTTTTTAAAACTATGTAAGATCTATTTTGATTTGAGTAAAATTACAATCCACCAAGTCATATATGCTTGATGGACAATCAGAAAGAAAAAACTGAAAACACTAACAAATGAAAATAGGAAAACTGGAAGAAGAATTTTTTTTTTAAAAGCTTTCTTCCTATTTGCACTATTATGGACTGGCAATTTAAAAATAACACTGGCATATGGTTCTGTCAAACTTTAATCACACATACAAAGGCAAATTTCAAATCACTTAGGTAAAACCCACAATCCCCTTAATTAATTTTAGAAACCCAACACAGTTTTTTTTAAGATTGATTATTTATTTATTCATTCATTCATTCATTCATTCATGAGAGAGACACACAGAGGGAGAAGCATGTTCCCTGCAGGGAGCCCAATGTGAGTCTCAATCCCAGGACCCTGAGCCCAATGTGAGTCTCAATCCCAGGACCCTGGGATCACGTCTTAAGCCAAGGCAGACACTCAATCACTGAGCCACCCAGGCATCCCAAACCAGAACAGTTCTTAACCTAAAACTTGCTATATGTTTTTTAGGTTATAAATTTCTGAATGTGTAGAGTGAAGCAGTCATTCATGCAAAATAATTACCTGCATGCACTTAAGTTGATCTAGCATTCAACTGTTACACTTTCACTTAATTATATCCTAAATAAGATAGTTAGAAAATACTGAAGGAATGACATTCTAAATCCAATCTACTCCTTCAAAATGTTAGAAAGCTTTTCTGGTAATTTATTCGTAATGAACATATACACCCAGATGGCTCACTATACCTTTCCTGAAAAATAAAGATGTATGCAAATAACCTTGAACCACATAAACAAGCTTTTCAAATCAAGTATCTGTGCTTATCAGTGGCAATCAACTGTATCTGCTGATTCTAAACACTGGACTTGCAGCATTAAGATTGGTTGAAAAACTCCAAAATCAAAACTCTTCTTTCAGTAGACAAATGTATTTTTTAACATGATGCAACTTCTCCTAAGACAATGATAACTAAAATTGCATATTTTGGCAAAGAGATGAAAATAGAGACTAGATACAAGGGTGATGTGCTCCTAAGCTTCAAAAGATCAAGATTTTATGGGTCTCCAACAAAGACAACACAGCCACTTAAGAACATAAAACATCAGTAATCTCATGAAATACATGTTTAATCACAACATAACACTTTATAATAGATTATAAATCATGAAATAACAAAAGCAGCATTTTATGGGTTGAATTTTCTCCCCCAAAGGTATGATGGAAGCCCTAACCCCAGTACCTCAGAATCTGACCTTATTTGGAAATAGGGTCTTTGAATTAAAATGAGATTATTAGGGTGGGCCCTCATCCATGATGACTGTTGTCCTTATAAAAAAACGAAATCTTGACTCAGCCACATAGAGAAGCCAATGTAAAGACAGAGAAAAGATAGCCACATGACTGGGACGATGCATACACAAGTACAGTAACACCAAGCATTGTCGGCAAACATCAGAAGCTAGGAGAGGAAGGAAGGTTTCTCCTCTAGAGCTGTGAGCAAGATCATGGCTCTGCTGACACCTGATTTTGAATTTCTAGCCACCAGAACTTTAAGTTTCTAATGTTTTAAGTCACCTAGTTTTTGGCTTTTATTATGATGGCCTTAGGAAACTAACATATACATTAGGGTCTAACACTAAACTCAAATGTAACCAAAGTCAACTATAGGTCCACAAGAGTACTTCCATATTAGTCAGCAAAAAAGCCAGTATTTGTCACCAAATTCTTAAAATAAACATCAATATATTCATACATAAATGTGGGAGAAAAGTAAAACAAAACAAAACAGCACACCTGTCCTTCAGAATGGAAAACAAAGCATGCATAAATAAAACATAAGGACAAAAGTATCATCAAACTAAGACCACTATCATCACATGAATGAGCTATTTCATCAGTATCACCTAAAATCTAGTCTATGAATTAGATTTAGGTAGTAGCTTAAATTCTTTTTTCCTCTTCTTTTTAAATTGAAGTATAATGGACATAAAATGTCATATTAGTTTCATATATATAATGTACTCATTCGACAATTCTACACATTATTCAACATTCACCATGGTAAACACCTGATCTGTCACTGTACAATGCTTTCACATGATTACTGACTATATTCCCTATGCTGTACTTTTCATCTCCATGACTTACTTATTTTATAACTGAAAGTTTGTACCACTTGGTAGTAGCCTAAGTTCTACATCAATTCATAATTAAGTATACCAAAAGCGTATCAGAAGTATAAAGTCCAACGGGTTACTGGAGAGTTAAACTTTTTTAAAAATACATACACATGTGTATATGTGTGTGTGTATATAAACAAAAGCTCTCCTTTTAAATACAATTTTGACCGTGTATTTCTACTTCATGTTTAATTTTGTTCTTGCTGTATTGATACAAAATCACTGGCCTACTCATGTCCAACAAGTGTCCATTAGAGACTAAGGATCTGCAGTTTTGGACAAGCTTAATAATTTCTAACTGGTTCTCAACTTCACTGACTTGAAACCTAAGCTGTTCTCACTACTTTGCATGTTTATTTTCCCACTTTCTTATTTTCATTAATTAAGAAGAACACAATACACAAAAATACTCAGTTGCATAACTACTGTGTAAAAATGGTGACACTAAGAATCAGCATCACTGAGCAATGGCTCCAAAAGTTTTTCATCCACTATGTTCAAGCCTTCACACAGCAGGACAAGCAGAAGTTTTGCCATATAACATACAAAAGGTAAACCACTTGAAAGTTGAAAGTACAGAAGTATGTCCATCAAGAACCAGACGCATAATCCATGCTAACAAATGAGAACACTAATAAACCAAGTGTGAGAATATTTTTTAAAAACTACTAACTACTGAAAGTCAATGGTCAGCCTCAAGGGTAGTCAACCACAATAGGACAAAATAAAAACAGTGAAAGTCTAAGTTACAAGACATTAAAAAACAGCTGAAGTCAACCTCTCCAAAATGAGATGCCATCCTTATTTTGAAACATGGACTCTCATCAGGGTTGTCAATAAGCTCAGGCCTGGCAAATGGTAATCATGTCCACACATTAAAGAATACTCTTAATAGGTGTGTGATGGAGAATGCACTACTTAATAATTATATCCGCACACTGTTTGTTAACAGCAGTATCCTCAGCAGAAAACTGTTTAATTATCAGCTCATTTATTTTTGTCTTTAAAAAGAGACATTTGGTAAATTTGATAAAACAGCTAAAATGAATGTTGACAGGTGTGGAAATGAGGTCACACTCAGCAAACTGTTTTTAAAACATAAAGTCTCATACAGTGTCAGAAACAATTATCTTTTTACTTTATTACAAAAATGATATTTAAATCAGCTTATTTGTGACTTAAAAGAATACTTACAGGAAGGGATGATAAACTGTGGTTCTGTGTTTCCAGCATATCCTAGTTTTGTATATCTACAAAACAAAAAGGAAAATTTTACGGATTTCCCGAGTATCTTAGCAATTATGAATTTATTTCTCACATTTCCATTTGCTATGAAGATTCCACTGTGAGTAAATATACAAAATCCCATAGCTCAATGCATTTAAACTTCCCGACTTTCCGAAGTCATACCAAAATTATACCCAAAGCTTTTTTTTTTTGGTTTTAAGATTTATTTATTTACTCATGAAAGACAGAGAGAGAGAAGCAGAGACACAGGCAGAAGGATAAGTAGACCCCCTGCAAGGAGCCCAATGCAGGACTCCAGTCCCAAATCCTGGGATCACACCCTGAGCCAAAGGCATAGGCTCAAGTGCTGAGCCACCCAGCAGTCCCTACCCACAGCTTTTAACAAGAAATTCCACTTCTAGAAACTGATCCTGCAGGAAAATTCACTCATATGTGAAATAACATAACAAAACTATTTGCTACAATCTTACTTATAACAGCAAGAGACTTAAAGTAACTTAATAAAAATGAAATGAGAAACCAAATATGCTAAATTTATACTGTTGTATGATGTAGCTATTAAAAAGATTGAAAAAACTCTTTATGGACTAATGCAGAACTATCTCCAAAGTGTGTTAACTGAACAAAGTAAGGAACAGAACAATGTTTCAAGTATGCTATATTTGTACAAAAGTAAGGGAGAGGGATAAGGACATATAAAATATATTTGACTGTACAGGCACAGAGCATCTCTGGAAGAATATAAAGCTATCAGTAATTCTGCTTGTCTCCAGGGAGGGAACTAGGTAGGTGACAGGAAGGGGTAACAAGGAGTTTTTTTATTGCTTATTTTTTCATACTATTTGAATGAATTACTACTATTCAAAATAAGTAATTTTTAAAGGTTTTGCCACAGTGGATTCAGCCTCTATTCTTACAAAAACAAAATAATGGCAACAATGATGATCAGGAACTATAAAAGCTAATAAGCTTTTTAGTTTAAGTTCCATGTTGTGGGCTGCATAGAAGATAGGTGGACTTTTTCTATGGCTATGCATGAAAACCTATTAAATATGAGCAGGCTTTAAAGAGAAAGTAACAACATTTTATATTATTCCATATTCAAACTCACTGCTAAACAGCAGGCAAGTGAACTGCTGTGAAATTCTTAGATTCTAATAATATCTGCAAATTTTTTACTAATTAAAAAGCTCTCTTTAGGAGATATTTTAGTCCCAAAACTAAGTCCAAAAACTAAGAATGCCAAATATGCTAAATTGTTAAAAAATAAGGAGAAAACATAAACAGATCCAAATGTGATATGCTCTGACTAAACCTCTTCCAAGATTCCCCACTGCCCACATTTAAAAAATAAACAAACAAAACTTTGCAAGGAATACAAAAGAGCTCCTTTAATATTTGGCTTCTGACCACCCTTCCAAGACGCCTTGACACACTACAGGAGTCTCCCTAACCATAGAACTGCTCACAGTTTCTGGACAGACCAACTCATTTCATGCCAGGAGCCAATATTAACACTGTTAATATTAACACTGTTCCAACTACAGAAGATGTTCTCCTCTCAGTGCTGAATGCATTACCCACTCTGAAAAATTCAAGTATCAATGTCTCTATATGAAAATTTTTTTTAACCTTCCAACAGTATACCTTGGAACTGACACATCTTATTACAACAAAGACTTAAAAAGCAAGACAATCTAAAACTGAGCCACATCACCCTAAAAGTCTACTCTCTAACACTTACTGGAAGGATGAATACCTAATTATTTCATCTAATCCCTCCACTTTTTTTTTTTTACCATTAGTCACCATAGCAGTTCAAGTCATTATACACAATACCTAACAGAACAGAATGCCTTACTTCTAATTCTATGACCCCTACAAATAGAATAATCTCTCGAAAAATCACTGCCTAACTCAGAAATCTTGAAATGAAGCTGTACTGCCTACAAGATTAAGTACAAACTTGTTCCCATTTCTATAAAATGATTCGTTGTTAGTAGTTCCTAAAGTCCCTTTCAGATAAAATATATATATCTATATATATTATTCTTATGCCTTCAGCTGAATATTAAGGTACTTCACAATAAGCCCCAATTAAAGTTTTTTTTCCAATTAAAGTTTTTAAGTGTCTTCCATCATTTGCTTCCATGAACTCAGCTCAAAGCACAATGCACTTATTACTCACTTTCCTCTAAATGACTTGCAATTTCCCCATCACATGTTATCTGTGCTTACACTGCACCCTCTCAAAAAGCTCTCACCACAACTTAGAGGACTCCTCCATGAAGTCCTTCCTGATCATTTTAACTATTTGTCATTCAATAAACTCTGTTTCAACAACCACTCTATACAAGCCTGTGGTTATTTTCATGCACATACACACCATCTCCCAAATATGGCAGTCAGATATTTGAAGTAGAAACCGTATTACAGTAGAAATCCCCTCAATGAAACCTCCATTTATCAAGTTCACCGGATTAATCAATACTCCATTCCTGATCAAAATCAAATTTCCTAGGTAGAGCATATTCAGCAAACACTTACTTCCAGAACAAACACCAAAATTAGAATCTAATGAATACAGAACAGTCATATCATAATCAAAACAAATGTGCTTTTCCCAAAAGACAAAAATAACTACCTAGAGTATATCGATTACATGGATATACCACAACATTTAATCATTTCTACTATAAATATAGTAGAAATAGCCAAACAAATTTCTAATTTTGGGAGGGAAACAGCCAAATATATTTACCAATGTTCTACTGCCCTGGATTTAAAATTTAATTAAGATTTGGAGCATTTAGGTGGCTCAGTCAGTTGAGCAGCTGCCTTCAGGTCAGGTCATGATCCCAATGTACTGGGATTAAGTCCCACATGGGGGTGGGGGGTGTACCTGCTTCGCAGGGAGCCAACTTATCCCAATATCTATCTATCTATCTATCTATCTATCTATCTATCTATCTATCTATATCTGTCAAATACACAAAATCTTTAAAGAAAATTTAAAAATTAAAAAGTTTTTTAAAAATAAAATTTAAATAAGATCTCAAAGAAACAAAATCATCTGGATACACTGGATACAAACTGCTAATCTGTAGTATTTGATGATTTTCCAATTTTAAGAACTATGAAGGGAAATGTCCCACTTTACTGACCCTTAAAAATGGTGGTTAGCCTCTAAAAATTAACTTGGCTCCTAGCTTGAAGAGAAATGCTTGTGGTATAGTATAGAATACAATCTTAAAAAAAGAGAACGTCCTATCCTAAAATCTAGAAATGATTTCTTGAGTTGGATTAAACTCAAAAAAAGTCACACTTTCTCTAGTGGAGTGAGAACCAAATGATAATAAAGGATATGACTCTTCAAAATCATTCTCTTGGGGTGCCTGGGTGGCTCAGTCAGTTAAGGGCCCGACTCTTGGTTTCATCTCAGGTCATGATATTATGGTCAAGGGATCAAGTCCCACGCTGGGCTCTGTGTTCAGCAGGGAGTCTGCTTGAAGATTCTCTCTCCCTCTCTGCCCCCACCCTCACGTGTGCATGCTCTCTCTCTAAAAATAAGTAAATCTTTAAAACCACTCTCTTATACTATTAGCAAACTTTAAAAACTGTTTTTTAAAACTGAGCTTTGAAAATACTCAAAAAAATTAACAAAATCAAAGTTCAGAAAGTATACAGAAAAAAGTAACAAAAATTTTAGAAAATAAGGACTACAGAACTCTGAAACTTAAAAAAGATATGTAATGTTCATATAAAAAACATTTTAATGTTTCTATGTGAGCAGAGAAGTATTTACACAGGGAAAGGAGGAGAGATGAGAGATATAGAGTCTAGGAAGACCTAAAGAAACTATTGAGCTGAGTTATAGGAAGAGCTAAAACAGTACATTAAACGCACACAAAAAATGGTAATTCTGAAGAACATGTAAGAATAAACAGGAAAAGATTTGGGTATAGCTATAAGAGATTTGCTTATATTAAACTTCACTTAAACTTTCTTTATATAAGAATAACGACAAATGATTAGTAAAGACATTAAGTACTAAATTTGTTTAAAACCTTCAAATTAAAGTTTTTCAAATATAAAGTAGCTTCCATTAACCTAACTTAATTCTGTCAGATTTTACACCTGAAATGGCTAATTTGATTAATACAATTTTATAGTGCAGTCTCAAAATTCTTGATAGTTATCACAGAGAAGAAGTTGTACAAGTAGATGACAGAAGAGTTTCACTTTTTCTGACTTAACTCCTTTTTCTCAATTAGTTGGCATTTGATAACTTGAACTCTATAACTTAAGGATGTGTTCATTGTATTTAAACTAAAAGTTCTTGTTTTCATTGACACACACAAATTCAGGTTTTATAATAATGCAAATAGATTTCAAATCAATCTTTTTCTTTTTTTTTTTTTTTAATTTTTTTTTTATTTATTTATTTATGATAGTCACACAGAGAGAGAGAAAGAGAGAGAGGCAGAGACACAGGCAGAGGGAGAAGCAGGCTCCATGCACCGGGAGCCCGACATGGGATTTGATCCTGGGCCTCCAGGATCGCGCCCTGGGCCAAAGGCAGGCGCTAAACCGCTGCGCCACCCAGGGATCCCCAATCTAACTTTTTCATACTAAGACTTTCTTAAACTATACATACAAAACAAAACAAAACAAAACAAACAAACAAACAAAAAAAACCATACATACAAGTTCCAGTTCAGGAAAATGAAAAAGTTCTTAAGATGGAGGTGATAGTTGTAATACAACGTGAATACAATTATGCCATTAAGCTGTATACCTAACAATGTTCTTATGTTGTGTATATTTTATCACAATTTTTTAAAAAACTAAGCTGTAGCTACCTGGAAAAATTCAACTGGGTATATATCATATATGGTAAAGTAATATAAATCTAAATGCATCAAAGATTAAAAAGGAAGAAATGTTAAACATAAACTTTATAACCCTGGAGTAGAAGAGGCTTTCTAACTATAATTTAAAA